CTTCTCTGCTCCTGGGTATTAAATAAAGTAACTAAGTACATAGTTATGATGAGCAAGAGTGTCTCTTCCAAAATTGTGAATTTCATGGCCCCAGGATCAGGGGTTCTGGTGTTAGGGCGGGGCTCTATTGATTATATAGTGAAAATGCATTAATTCTTTGAAAATCTTCTTCTCTGCTCCTGGGTATTAAATAAACTAAGTAAGTACATAGTTATGATAAGCAAGAGCACCTCTTCCAAAATTGTGAAATTCATGGCCCCAGGGTCAGGGGTTCTGGTGAAAGGGGGGGGGGGTGCTCTATAGATTATATAGTGAAAATGCATCAATTCTTTGAAAATCTTTTTCTCTGCTCCTGGGTATTAAATAAACTAAGTAAGTACATAGTTGTTATGAGCAAGAGTGCCTCTTCCAAAATTGTGAATTTGATGGCCCCAGGGTCAGGGGTTCCGGTGTTAGGGCGGGGCTCTGTTGATTATATAGTGAAAATACATTAATTCTTTGAAAATCTTCTCTGCTTCTGGGTATTAAATAAACTATTTAAGAACATAGTTATGGTGAACATGGCTGCCTTTTCAGAAATTATGAATTTCATGGCCCCTGGGTCAGGGGTTCAGGTGTTAGGGCGGGGCTCTATCGATTATATAGTGAAAATGCATTAATTCTTTGAAAATCTTCTTCTCTGCTCCTGGGTATTAAATAAACTATGTAAGTACATAGTTATGATGAGCAAGAGCACCTCTTCCAAAATTGTGAATTTCATGGCCCATGGGTCAGGGGTTCTGGTGTTAGGGCGGGGCTCTGTTGATTATATAGTGAAAATACATTAATTCATTGAAAATCTTCTCTGCTTCTGGGTATTAAATAAACTATTTATGAACATAGTTATGGTGAACATGGCTGCCTTTTCAGAAATTATGAATTTCAAGGCCCCTGGGTCAGGGGTTCAGGTGTTAAGACGGGCTCTATTTGATTATATAGTAAAATTGCATTAATTCTTTGAAAGTCTTCTTCTCTGATCTTGGATTTAAATAATTTAACTTAGTGCATAGTTATGAGGAGCATGGTTGCCTCTTCCAAAATTGTGAATTTCATGGCCCATGGGTCAGGGGTTCTGGTGTTAGGGCGGGGCTCTATTAATTATATAGGGAAACTGCATTAATTCTATCAAAATTTTCTCTTCGCTCCTGGGTAATTTTCAAACAAAGGAAGTACATGGTTATAATAAGGAAGAATGCCTCTTCCAAAATTGTTAAATTTATGGCCCCAGGGTCAGGGGTTCTGGTGAAGGCGGGGCGGGGGGGGGGGGCTCTATTGATTATATAGTGAAAATGCATACTGCAGTAATTTCTTTCAAAATATTTTTTCTACTACTGGTTATAAAGCAAAGAAACAAGTGTATAGTTATGATAAGCAAGGGTGCTTATTCCAGAATTGTGAGCTTATGGCCAATGGGTCAGATCTTCTGGTGTAAGGATGGGGCTTTATTTATTTAATAATATAGTGATAATGCATTTCTTTGAAAATTTTCTATGCTTCTTGGCATATTCGAGGCAAACAGAGCAAAGTTTTAATATGCAAGGGTATATTTACCAGAATTTTGAACACTTGATCCATTTAATCAAGTGTTCTGGTCCTGGCCATTGCTCTATTAACTTGTATCCTGCTGAGCAAAGTTATTCCCCTTTGCCATTCACCTTTGATAATAAATCACTGTAAATAATATATTTAAATGCTTAATAGAATAAGAGCATTATGCAAGAATATTTATTGTATAATACAAAAAGTACTTTCACAGTTTTAATGATCAGGTAGACTTGGAAATAATAGATGAATAAAATTGAGACAAAAATAACTCATCGTTTTTAATTGTTCTTCAAAGGCCAAGAGAGGCCAATGTGAGAAATAATAATATGGGGTTAAAAAATAGTTTGTTAATAGTCTGCATGGTAATAGTGATAAATGGGGGACAGATAGATACTAGACCAATTATTTTGTTGATACAAATCATACTATTTTTCTTGCTTTTGGGCAACAAAGCTTCATTTATCAGGTTATGGATCCTCTAAATTGTTGTATTGTACTCAGGTGACCGTTAAGGCCCTTGGGCCTCTTGTTCACATGATAAGGTCGAATTTTCTCTAGCCAAGCGCAGTGTAGTAACCATTGCACTTCCGGTCCAAGGACTGTCATTCATGCTAATGATAGGTAAGAGCCTCTTTAGGTGTGATGTAGTGCATATTTGCATCTGCAACTCTTCATCACCTTTATTTTGAGATTTTCCAGCTGGACCAATGGAAATGCGTACTAAAGTCATTTTAACGAAGCCTTGGCATCGCTTACGGAAAAGAAAGGAGAATTTATTTTTTGGAATATTGCTGCATTACTTATAATGAACATATTCAAACCCTTAAAACCCCATATTATTGCCAAATGTTTTGTTAAACATGCAATTTTTGATTTCTGTTAAGCGGACTCAATCTTACCTTCCGGTAATGGTATGAAAACCAACCATTAAATTATCGATGTTTACAAAGTTGAAGATGTCTTTAAGGTACAAAATTACATTCTATTTATGACATTTCCCCCTAAAATAGAATGTGCGTTTCAGTATATAAACAGACGTTGTTGTTTAATGTTCCTGGATGGAGGATACTGTGTTAGTCCATGTTCAATTTTATTACTAGTTTTAAGGGTTTGATAAATATTTGTATTTACTGTTCAAAGCCCTCCGATAGTGGATATTATGCACAAAAAATTACTTTATTTCATGCATTTAATACATGCATATGTTTTGTCTTCCTTCATTGTACATTGTCATAAACTTATTAAAACCTTTCAAAATTTTCATTTCTTTTAAATGTATTTCAACTTGAAGGGGATAGGCAGCATACTACATGTGCTTATCATTGGTTCAAGCGAGTTTAACAATTAATGTTTTGTGCATATAGTATCTAATGTCCATCGAGCATTCTGCAAAGAATGTTCCGCGTTTAATAATGCTCTCCATCTACTTTTCATTGATTAATTTCCAGTGGTTCCATATAGTCAATACCCTCATTATTAATAGGACAGATATTGTGCAAAACAAGTGCACATGATAGTTTACCTGCTGTTGGAAAACTTAGTACTTGGAGGTGATGTAAAGATAGAATTCATGTCAACTTTGTATAATGCCTTTTATTTGTCCCCTACCAGTGAAACCGGAGGGGACTATAGGTTTCCTCTGAGTCTGTTCGTCCGTCTGTCTTTCTGTCTGTCTGTCCCTCTGTCAGTCTGTCCCACTTGGTTTTCCGCACTTTTTTCTATTGAGCTGATTTGGTATGTGAGTGTATCTTGATGAGTTACAGATAAAGTTTGCATTTCGTTCCGCTTTAATGATTTCTGACGGAATTACGACCTTTTCAATTTTTCAGGGTTTTCCGCAATTTTTTTCTAAACGCTTGCAGATATTGAGCTGATTTTTGGTATGTAACTTTACCTTGATGAGTTATAGATCAAGTTTGCATTTCGTTCCACTTCATTGATTTTTGACGGAATTGGGGCATTTTCAATTTTTAAAGGGAACCACATTACACTTGCCGGTAGGGGACTAGTATTGCTAATGCAATACTCTCAGAATGCTTTTTTTTCACTGGTAGAAGAGTCATGGTTGACAAGAGACTGGGTACAGTTGTTTTATATTTTATCAAAGTGAACGAAGAATCACAGAGCCAGGGTGATTTATTGTAATTAGTGACAAGTGGCACATAGCCACGTTGTATACCCAAGTCTGTGTGTACTGAATTGTAGCACTAGGCAAGTGACAAATACATAGTCTGTATGTATTGAATATCTTACACAATAGGCAAGTATCGATTGTATTTGTATATTTTGCATTCATTATCATCCCTGTAAGACTTGGGAAACTAAGTATGATCCCAAGGAGATCATCCAGGTCTAGCACATTACAATAAACAAGGATATTTTTACCATTTTTTTTTTTTAAATTCTTGGGCAACATTGCTTCGTCAATCAGTTAATTTTGTTTATAATTCGACGGATCTTTTACAGTGTTGTATTATACTCAGGTGACCCTTAAGGCCCTTGGACCTCTTGTTTTGATAAGTTTTCGTGTCTTATAAAAATTCTCAGAAATGGAGGGGGTTACACCATCCATTCGTCAGGTACTTGTGATGACTGATACATATATGTAACTCTGTATAATGGTTTTTGAGTTTGATGTCTAGGTTACCAAAAAAGAAAATGCTGGGAATTCTTTGAAAACACTACTCCTCTTACAGTTTTGGTCTGATTCATGAAAGACTATTCATAAAACTTCTTACTTAGACTACACCGTTGCATTGATTTAGATTTTTTCCGACGGTTTTGTTACTATAAATAGAAATTATATCAAAATTTCCAAGAAAACTTTGTACACAAGTAGACTATGTACATGATGATACATACATGCAATTCTCTTTTTCGATTTAGACAAACTGTGTTGCTAAGATTGTAACAATATTATGTATATATTTTAGCTAAATATAGACCTCATTCATTGTGTACATCAGCGGCCTCAGTTAAATATAATCAGATTTTGTATTTATTAACACCTAAGCGACTCAAGATACACGCTCTATTTTAACGCCATATGTAAACCATGTCATGCCATGCTGTCTTGAATAAACAGTACTATTTCCTGATTTAGACTCTCTATGATATTGAAACAATGATTACAAAAACTAATTTAAAAAATTTGAATTATTTCAAAAGCTACCACTCCTACAATTTTAGTCCGAGTTCGTTTAAACTAGCCCTAGAAAGAGACTAATAGAATCATAATTCTGTTTATTGGTGTTACCAGGTATAGTTTCCTCTCTCCTTTTAACTTTTGTTACAAGTACAAACCAGTAGAGCTTCAGTCTCTTCTGATACTTCTGGTCGATTTAATTAACATCGGTGTTCTTGCATCATGAAAACCATGTAACCGAAGAATGTTTAATATATTTTCTCACTTTCAGAAGATAACTGTTCAATGTATCCTGATAACAGATCACGTGTCTACATACACAATATACAGATTTATTAACGTGAGCATTAGTGATGTAGGGAGCAAAATAGGAATTGGATTTAACAACGGTACTTCTCTTAGCAACCCATACTCTTTCACAACCAGTGCATATAGAATGGGTACTCACATTGGGAACACAGGTAACATCAATTTGCATGTCAACTGAGTGTTATATGGAATCAAATTTACTCTCGATGTTATTTATTTATACCCACGCAAATGAAGTTTGGGGGATCAATACATGGAAGTATCACCCTGTTCATCCGTCCGTCTGTCCGTGCAATCATGTCCAGGCCATCATGTCTTCTTAAAGAAGATGTATTGGTAGCTCACACTTGATAGAGATCATTCTAGCAATTTAATGGTCACACAGCAAAAGTGTAAATTCATCCGGTTCCTATTTTTGTAATTAAGATAGGTTTTAAGCTCATACCTGACACATAGTCTGATTATGTCCTGAGTGGAGATGGATTTGAAGCTTATACCGATTATGTCCTGAGTGGAGACAGGTTTGAAGCTCATACCTGACACATAGTTTATGTCCTGAGGAAATGCCGTGATCCTCATTCAAGGCCATTGGCAGAAAAAGTGTCACATTTGTGTCTCGTCCATACTAGTAACCATGTGAGGAGAAACAATTGAAGTTCAAGATTGCATATCACTGTAGGTGTGTCAAGAACTTGAGCCAAGGTCATTTGGTAAGTTCAAGATCTGTATAAGAAAAGCCTATAATCCTGTCCTAGCCATATTGTGTAATGAAGACACATTGGATGCTCATACTCAGCACAGATTTACTTTAGACTTGCAGGTGTGTCTTGCCTTTGACCAAAGGTCTTTTGAGTAAGTTCAAGGTCATTGGCATGAAGCGTTACCTTTTCATTAATCTGTGATGGAAAAAAGTTCGAAGTTGATACTTGACACAAAAATTGCTTATGACTAGTGTGTCATGATCTTGAGCAAGATTTATTTCAGTAAGTTCAAGATCACTGGCAAAAAAAAAGCGTAAAATTCATGCCCAGAAAATGTGTTATGACCTTGATCCAAGCTCAATCCCAACAGCTCAAGGTACTGACAGGATTCATGTTTAATTCACAACTCTTAGATAAATATTGGAAATCGATAACTCGTTAGGGTATGTCAAATCTTTACCTAGGTCACTTTGTCAAGTTCTAGGTCATTGTCAGAAAAAAGTGTAAAATTCATGCCTGGGTATTTTATTCTCTGATGGAGAAACAATGAAAGTTCACACTTCACAAAATTTACTTCTGACCATAGGATATGTCATCTTCTTCATCGAATGTCATTTCAAGGTCGCCTTTTAAAAAATGCACATAGACATTTTAAAAATATGCAGAGGCCAGGGGGTATAATTTTATTATTCGGTCATTTTGTGCTTTTTGTCTATGATTAGTTACTCAAATTCATGAAGTTAGCTCTTCTTTAGTAAGCTGAATTACTTCACACAAGTTTACCTCTGACCAGATGATGCGTCATTTTCTTCAACGAAGGTCATTTTGGTAAGTTCAAGGTCGCCTTAAGAAATATGCACTTAGATATTTTAAAAACATGCAGGTATATAGGTAAAACTTTGATCGACATAGTGGCTCCACCCTACCCCCACGGGTCATGACTTGGATAAAATTGAATCTACACTACCTCAGGATGCTTCTTCATTGTAATATGATTAATCACGACTTTGCTGTTCTTCAAAAGAATTTTAAAGATATTTCCCAAGTATTCGTTTGTAAAAGTTTGATTGCCCAAAGTGACCCCATCCTATCCCCTGGGGGTCATGATTTGAACAAACATGAATCTATACTACCCCAGAATCCCTTCACATAAGTTTAATCTTTTCTGGTCCAGTAGTTTTTGAGAAGAAGATTTTTAGATTATCCCACCAAATTTTCTTAATTATGAAAGAGGACGTGGCCCTTCATTTGAACAAACTTGAATCCCCTTCACTTTAGGATACTTTTTACCATATTGGTTGAAATTGGCCCAGTGGTTCTGGAGTAGAAGATGAAAATTTGAAAAGTTAACAACGTCTACAGACAACGGACAGATTTCGATCAGAAAAGCTCACTTGAGCAGTTCAATAATATCATCGACAGGTCCAATATCTTACTCTGCGGTCAAACATCGATCTTTTTAATGACCGCTCGGTAAAACATTGGAAATGTTAGACTTTTTAAAGTATAGATTTATATAGGAAATAATTTTTAAAGGTATAATAATTAGCTGTAATAAATGAATTATGTTGTTTCTTAAGGTCTCTTCGGAGTTTGGTTCTACACAGTTACCCCAGGTAAGTTCTAAACAACTACTTCAGATAGGTTTATGGCATTCAATAGGAGTGCTAATGTATAGTCATAATGAGAAAAATCTATCTGTTAAATTCCAACTATTGAAATGAAAACATGGAAGAATATTTTTTTCGTCCGTAACAGAAGGAGACATTCTGGCTTTGGTGTATATTTAAGGTCTTTCGTTCCAGACGGAAGACCTTATAGTGATTCTACCGTTTCTTTTTCTTCTTATTAGCTCACCTGAGCCGAAGGCTCAAGTGAGCTTTTCTGATCACTTTTTGTCCGGAGTCCATCTGTCTGTCTGTCTTTCTGTCTGGAAACTTTTCACATTTCGACTTCTTCTCAAGAACCAATGGGCCAATTTCAACTAAAGTAATTTCAACCACAAAGTAGCCTTGGGTGAAGGGGATTCAAGTTTGGTCAAATGAAGGACCATGCCCTCAAGAACCACTGGGCCAGGAAAGATGAAACTTATGTGGAAACATCCTCAGATAGTTTAAATTCAAATCTATTTAAAACATGACCCCGGGGGTTGGGTGGGGCCACAATGGGCGATTCAAGTTTTACATAGGAAAATTCTTAAAAACTCTTCTTCTCAAAAACAGCAAAGCCATGATTGGTCATATTTATATGGAAGTAGATTCAAATTTGTTCATATCATGACCCTCGGGGGTAGGGTGGGTCCACAATGGGGGATCAAAGTTTTACATAGAAATCTATAGGAAAATATCTTTAAAAATCTTCTTAAGAACAGCAAAGCCGTGATTGGTCATATTTATATGGAAGCATCCTCAGGTAGTGTAGATTCAAGTTTGTTCAAATAATGACCCCCGGGGGTAGGGTGGGGCCAGAACGGGTGATCAAAGTTTAGCATAGGAATACATAGGAAATTCTTTAAAAATCTTCTTCTCAAGAACAGCAAAGTCATGATTGGTCATATTTTAATGGAAGCATCCTCAGGTAGTGTAGATTCAAGCCATGACCCCCGGGGGTAGGGTGGGTCCACAATGGGTGATAAAAAATTTTCATAGGAGGATAAAGGAAAAAACTTTTAAAATCTTCTGATGAAGAACAGCAGAATAATGATTGGTCATATTTATATGGAAGCATCCTCAGGTAGTGTAGATTCAATTTTGTTCAAATCATGACCTCCCGAGTGTAGGGTGGGGCCATAATGGGGGATCAAAGTTTAGCATAGGAATATATAGGAAAAAATCTTTCTCAAAAACAGAAAAGCCATGATTAGTCATATTGATATGGAGGCATCTTCTGGTTGTGTAGATTCAAATTTGTTCAATTGAGGGCCCTAGGCTGTAGGGTGGGGCCACAATGGGGGATCAAATTTTTACAAATGAATATATAGGAAAAAATCTTCTGCTCAAGAGCAGCAAAGCCATTTGTTATATTGATATGGAAGCATCATCGGGTAGTTTAAAATTCAAGCCCCCCCCCCCCTGTAAACTTTTCAATACTGAACTGATTTCTGCTTTTTTCTTAGCCAATGTGCTCAGGTGAGCGATGTGGCCCATGGGCCTCTTGTCCCCCCCCCCCCTTTTTCTTCTCGGTTCGATTTCTCAGAGATGGTTGAACGGATTTTCAGAGATGATAGAGAATGAAAATAACCCCAGATGTTTTTTTTTTCATTTTTTTTCGAAAATCACTTCCAGTTGTCAGATATCTCCGATTTCCGTTTTTTTCCAAAAATATTTTGTCCGAGTCATGTCTCAGAAGCGGTAAGAGATTAATACACCAAACTTATATGAGTAATAGATCTTGAGGAGTATGCAAATCCATTTGGGTTAAGAGCGTCAACCGTCACTTCCGGTCGTCACAGGAAGTGATCAAAGAAATCAAAAATTTCTATTTTTCTTTTTTAAATTAAATCTTGCATAACATTATTGCATCTGTTTCACAGTTTCGAAATATGTTGGTCCCATCGGAAATGAAAACGTCAACTTCCGGTTACAAGCGAAAAACTGCATTAATCCAGTATTGAATTTTCCCATCAATTTCGCTTATAGATAAAGTATTTGAACTGTTTTTTAAATATGTTATTAAGACTGCAAATGTCTAGAGTAACGTCAAATATCTTTGTGAAATTTACTTCTGCTCGAGTGTTTTCATGTCCGCAAAATGAGAACTTGTCCAAGTGATATCTCAGAAACGGTAACAGATAAAGACATCAAACTTATATGAGTAATAAACCTTGAAGATAAGGCAAAACTATTTGGGTTAAGAGCGTCAGCCATCACTTCTGGTCGTCGCAGGAAGTGATCGAAGAAATCAAAAATTTCAATTTTTCTCTTTTAAAATGCATCTCGCATCATATATGTATCTCCTTCACAGTTTCAATATGTGTTGATCTCACCGGAAACAAAAAACGACAACTTCCGTTTATAAGAGAAAAACTACGTAATTAGGATTTTTAACTTTCCCATAAATATCGCTTATAGATAAAGTTTCTGAAATGATTTTTACATATGTTATGGAGACTGTAATTGTCTACAGTGACGTCAACCATCTTATTAAAATTCACTTCCGGTCACGTGTTTTTTCTGTCCTCAAATTGAGATTTTGTTCACCAAATTGCTCAGAAACACTACATGACTGAAGTCTAAAACTTTCGCAACTGATAGTCAGTCACCAGTTTATTTACATCATGTGAAAATCGTACTTTGCCGTCACTTCCGATTGTGACAGGAAGAGATGCAAAAAAGTGAATTTTTCATTTTTTTTTTTTTTACACAAATGTTTGGCTAATGATGTTAGATAGACCATGACCATGCAAATTATTTTTACCGGAAGTGCGGACTGAAAAACCGGAAGTTGTCTCAAACATGAGAAGTTTTTTCATAGAAACTTTTAGGGATGATTAGTTGTGAATGATTTAGGTGTAGAATGAACACTTTATTTGGAGTAATTTCGGTCACGATGAAGTAAAAAAAAACATAGAAAGTAGAGTTATTTCCGTTTTTCATGACCTTGACCTTTGATCTTGGGTCAAATATAAAAATAAGGACATGCATCCAGCTCCAGTATCAGGTTAAAACTAAGAGAGTAAAGATTTGTGGTTTTTTTCCTTCTTTTTTAATGACTTTGACCTTGACCCAAAGGTCAAATAAGGCCTAAGGATGTGGAAGTACTTAATTATAAGTTTAAAAGAGGCATAAAACAAATACTTTACCCACCCACCCCCCTTTCAACCAAAAAAAAATCATATCAACAGCAACGTGGAATATTTCTCTTAAATTCAAACTAGACCTCGGAACGACACCAAATTTGGTGCAAAAGTAGTATTGACCTCAGAGAAACGTTCTCGAGAGTTTTAATGTGAGTCTTATAACTACGATAGAAGTCATTAAGTTTACCGACAAAAACTACAAGTTCTGTTTTTTTTTAAATTTAAGTGCAGGTGAAGGAAGAAATGATCTAAAACTTTTATCGGCTATTTCTTCAGATGTCGTTAATAGCAATCGATTTTCCTGATGTGATGCGACATTTTAATACCAAGCATTCTCTCTTTCTTTTAAATGTGGAATTTATTTGATTTTTATTCAGAATTAATCAGTTTCCAGAAATAGTGATTTTCGGTAGATTAAAAACAATTCTCGCTTTCATTGTGTTTTTCTTCTAAAAATGCATGTTGGGAGTTTAATTTGTGCTACATATATTTAATTTAACCCAAAGAAATGCTTATTTAGATGTTTTATTTTTTTCAAGATATTCTGTCAGAAATGTTAGAATCCGAACCCGATCTTTTAAGCTTTCAACGAAGATTAATCACCCCCATATTTACCAAAAATTCAGCATGCTCACAATATCTATAAACGGGGCTACAGTCCACTAAAACACAGTGTTAATGTTTTCTCACGCAGCCCGTCCCTTCTTATTTTATACACTGCTTGCAAGTTCCAATCTCTACCCAGAGTTATCGTTCCCGCTACGCTCCACTAATACCTCTGTCAACGTCTAAAAAAGTAGTACGGAAGGCGTAGACGCTTGGCCTTTATCACCGGAAGATTAACAAACGTATCAAACGTATCACCTTAACTTTTCTGTATATGTGTCAATGCTGCAAGTTGTTTGTATTTAAAAACTAAACCATGTTGATATTTGTCGGCAATGCGTTTTAAATTTTCCACGTTCTCCATATCTGTCTACATGAGTGATGCAATATCCCGCCGAGAAATAATCCCTTGTAAGATACGGTAATACAGATATATCTCTTTCTAATTTTCATACATAAACGTTTCTTTAAATTTTAAAGCTTAAATATATAACTTTAAAATTTATAATTTTTTATACAATAGGTCAGAGTAAGTTTTGCCAAGAATCTTGGCATTTAGACGTTGACAGAGGTGTTGTAGCGCCCTCTGGTGAGAGATTGTGCAAGTTCAGGAACTATTTCCTTTTACGGCACTTCTTTTTTCCCCTACCGATTCTAAAAATACTTGCCTTTATTCTAGTCCTAAACAATTTAACTTAGGCATGATATCGGAATGCGTAGCCTAATGGTTAGCGCACCTGTCTTTCAAATCAAGGGTTTTGAGTTCGATCCCAGCCGGAGATACACTTTTGTTTTTCTTTTCTTTTCTAATTTTTTGCATTTTTTTTTTCAAACCAATTGAAACGGAAACACTTTAAAAAGTGGAAAGGCCTCTAATTGTTCACGGGACAATTAGTTTACTAGTTTTTATCTGTATTTATATACTGAAAGGAAAAAGAAACGCAGGGTAAACTTTTTAGGTGAAATAAGGATATACGTTTCAGACGTATTTTTCAGTATTGTTATCTAACATTAAATTTCATCTTTAATAAATATGTAACCAAAATCTCGTTTGATTTTCTCCAATAATTCATGAATTATATGACGGTACCCCCCAAAAGTGAAAACTGAAAATTCTCATTATATCACATATCTCCCTCGCGCATCTGTCACAGCCTTGATTCTCCCATGCAAGGAGTTCATCAGTGTGTATATCCTTCCAATAGGGATATTATTCAACCCTTCCGACAAGGCAGCCTTAAGTTGATTGAGACCAGCTTGGGCATTTTGAACCCTATCGTCCACGTAGTCCCAAAGATGTTCGATGCGGAAAAGATGGACTTTACGAAGACCATCAAGTAGATGAATGTGATAGTTTGCGAGAAAGTCGACAAACCTGGCAGCATTGGGACGGGAGTTAACATGAAAAAATAGGCAAACGACGCACGCGTGCGCGAGTGAGAGGAATACCAACGTAAAGTTGACGAGCTCACAAACCAAATTCGCGCAATCGATTTCCTTCAGTTTTGGGATGAATGTAACCACTGTCATAGCCTACTGTAATAATAGCAGTTTTAGGGTAATATGATGGTGATTATACAGGTGGCAGGATGTATAGCCCGATTTTGACCTGCGCGGCTAGGATAAGGCTGTCCGAGGAATATCTCTGAACTACCTAGATATGACGTCATAATGGCATATGACGTCAAGTCACTGCATACTTGAGCTGACATGACGGGGAAAGTGTCATAACTTATACGTTCCTTTCACATCACATTTAGAATTTTTTTACGTTGATGTTTAATTCATGTGTCCGGATTATTGTTTTAAGGCTGTTATGATGGTGAATATTTGCAGTAATATATCGTTATTACTTTTTCTTGTCTAACATGTACGTATTCAAACAACTAAAAAAAAGAATGTGAAATGCCCCCTTACACGTCTGTAGAAAGAGTTAGAATTTATAAATCTTATATATATATATTAGACTGGCACAAGTGAATAATAAGGATTAATTGAAGATATTCTGTGTGAATCTACTAGAGAAATATGTCCTCTAACTGAATTTTGCTGGGGGATTGCATGTAATTTATCCTATTTTGTATAAATTGCGATGAAGAGTGGAAAATGACCCCTTGTATGTGGGTAAGTTGAATTTCTCGTGAAATATTTTCTTAAGAAATAAAATTCAGACTTGTCCCCAGCACTTTATATATACCCAAGAATACGTTTAATTGATTTATGTAGCAGGCCGTTAACAATAATTTTGTTTTTCACTTGTGCCGATGCGATTTTTGTGCAACATTTAAGAAAATTTATAAGTGTCCGTCACGTGATCAATACAGTCATGTGACATCACAAAAATGCTTTTTCATAATACCTTATTCAACCTTCTTTACAACTTAACTGTGTATGTATACATAAATTACAAATTGAAATCAAAACATAGCTCAATATAACATAGTATATATTTGTGCATATTAAGCCTTCGGACAGCCTTAACATAGCTGCGTGGCGCTTTTACGCAGCAAGTGGTACGAAAAGATGTGTTGAAAAACATGTCATCAATATGCACGTGTTTTCGACTTTTTACCACTTTCCCTACGTGACGTCATATATTTTACGGTTGAGTAATTCTGAATACTGATTTTAATGCACAGTAACCAAGATATCCCTCTGACCAATTTTCATAATTTTCGGTTAAGCAGTAAAAAAAAATCGCATATTATGTTACCCTGCGTTTCTTTTTCCTTTCAGTATATATCTGTGGAAGTCTTGAGATAACTTTTATTAATCATTTAGAGTAATCTTGTTGACAAGATTTTGATGGGTTTTTTCCCCCCAAAGAATCAAGAAAACGGAAGACCTGTTATTGCCTAGGCAATAAGTATCTAGTTAATATACTTTTTACTGTCTATGAGGACAATAATAGCAAGTTTATTGTCCCCCAAGACAGCAACTATGTCTCAAGGCGCATCTGAGGGAAAAAGTTGCTGTCGATGGTGACAATTATTTTGCTGTTGTCTGAATAGTCAGCAAGTAGGTGTTTTATTATATCGAAGTAGACTTTATTTGTGTCACGTCCCGAAACAGAAAAAATCAGAAATTCCGAGTTGAAAAACGAGAGAAATTTAATGCTGTCTAATAATTTCACCATGGGAAAATAGCACAAAACTATTTCACGTTCAAGCCTATTTAGCGACTCCTACTTATAATTGCGATGGCATAACAATGCTTTGAACATGGATCTACGATAGATCTTAAATTTTAATGAATCCTTAATCTTGGAATTAGTTAACATCAATACGTCAAAAGTGTGTTGCATCACGAATATCAATTTGGTTGTAGATATGTATTGTTGTAGATATAGAAGGGGGGGGGGGGGGTCACAATGACTGCTTTCTCATGTGTAATTTAAGAAATTATCGCGCAATTAAATTCATGCTAAAATTTTAAATCTTGCATTCCGTTTGCTTGGAAATAATATAATTGCATATCAATATTCAAAACAGTATTTGTTTACTTGTTGGTAATTGAAATTTTCCAGATAAAAATAATTGCGTTTTCGGAACTTGTGAACATGAAGGGGTTTGTGAGGATTTGTACAGAGATTTTCAGTGTCATTGCAAGCCTGGATTTAAGGGGAAAAGGTGCCAAACAGGTGAAGAAATTTTGAATTTTTTGATATTTTCTTGAAAATTGCAGTTCTGTACTTAGCTTCATGGGTAAATATTTTATTGCATATCAGATATCAACGAATGCCTAGCACAGCCATGTGACAATGGAACCTGCGACAACACGGTAGGGAGTTATCACTGTACCTGTTTTCTCGGTTGGACAGGGAAGCACTGCGATTCTGGTATGTTTATTTTGGAAATGTCAGATAAAAAAGAGACGTATAGATACATTTGATTGGTTTGTTCACTAACAAATAAAATCCGATATTGTTCATCTGTAGAGGAGAATTGGAACAACACTGTATGTTCAAGGGAGGAAGTCTGCTGTAAAATGTCACCGTACAAATCACATGAAGAAACGGGTAAGAGATAACTTAAACTATGACATTCTAAAAACTTTAAATTCTGCCAACCCCCAAATTACCAAGATGAAAATACTTCAGTTGACTCACGCGCGGAACCAGGAATTTCTTTTTAGTGGCGATCCATCCCAGTCCAAAATCCTTTCCCAAACGTTAAAAAACTTCACTTTCTAAGCTTCTTTCTACTAATTTTACAGGGGTCCACGTTTTCTACGGCGGTCCAGGGTCATTTTAGCTATTTTAATATGTACATTTAATAACGGGCGAGGGGGTCTTGTATCCCTACCCCACCTCGATCCGCTCATGTAACTGAACATACGAGTTATCTTTCTGTGTCCATCCTGTACTTTTCAAAATAAAACCGATTCTTCCTCGCCCTAAGGAAACATTCTGTTCTTATTTGCATTAAAATTCAATTACACACTACTTTGTTACAATTTTACAGATAGTATAATCGTGATTATAGAACATAGTCCAAAATAAGTTAAACATGTCATAAAAATTGTTCTTCAATCTTGATCCTCACTCGAGCACTGAAAAATTAATTTAAAAATCTTGAAAAATTCACTTTCGATGACCGAAGCGGTATCTTGTTTAATCCTCAGTCTAGGTCTGACTGTACTTCTAAACAATGACTGAGGTATTTATAACTCGGGTTTTGGCAAATAAGTCCATCAATTAGATAAACTGGAAACTAATCAATTCGATTGTATCCGTGAGAGTGGTAGATCGCGTCTAACTGGATACAAAGCAGGAACCAATATAGAGTCTTAGATAAAAGACAATAACTTAATATTTTATCTACAAAATACGTAAAATACAAATAACCGAGTAATATGGTCCGGAAATTCGGAGTCCTCTTAGATTTCCTGCTATAGAAGGGTGGGGAGAGAAAGGTTTTCTAAGGTTACCTTTGTAGAGTGATTGAAGTAAAACTAGGAAAACAAAAAATTCAACCGAACTAACGACCAACAACTCTTCACAAAATATATGGCTATCAATCGCCTTGACCTAAACAATGAATCAAAACAACACGAGAAGTGAAGGTCAGAGATTGTTTGTGATCAAACCAGGGAAACGTCAGTCACATTTTAGATTCATAGAAATTCTTTACCGTAAAAATGTAAACAACAGCAGATGAAGTCATACTTTTTCCTACTATGGTCTATTGCTCACCCTAAAACCAAAAAAAGTTTAACACTCCCAGCCCCCCCCCCTTTTTTATGATTCAGCTTACATGCAGAGTCACTCTCTGCAGGAATGATTATTTTATCCCCCAAATATGAAAAATGTATACTCTGTAAACGTGTTTTAATATTTGAGTATGTTTCTTGTGTAGACATATTTTTTGTTGTCCATCCTTCTGTAAAATATTATACACGGCCTTGGACATCAATTTTGGTCAGTATGAAAACATTTTAATAGATTTTTATGGCACAAATTATTGTGAAAATATACTTTTTTCAATATACCTTTTGAACCCGTGTAAACTGGCAACTTAATTAAAACAAAACAAAATTTGTTTATGATATCAATAATTTACATTTTGCCAACTGTCGATCCCTGTTCCCAAATCGAAGCTACTTGCCAACATTTGGGTTTCTATAGTTCGGGGTGACACTATTCTCTCTTGTAACAGATTCTGGTATAGTAGCTGCTTTGTCTGCACTGTTAGCTGTTGTGAGTTTGAGTTCCTTGGCCCTGGCTGTGCTTACATGTCATTTTAGAAGACAAAGGTAACTGCTGTTTAAAGATTGTACATCTATCAAATTTCTCCCAAAAATGCTGAGAGATGGTATATTGTATTTTTTTCAAGAAAAATTTAATAGTAGTATTTCAAGTTAATGTCAATGATAACTTTTAGAATTCCAGAACAGAAAAATGTGACGGAGGAAACTTACGAGAATGTAACAGTGACGAACACAACAGAACAGGGGTCGTCAATATATACAAACCTGCAACTGAGCCCGAACACCAGCAAATGAACGACAAATACGAACAACATGGCATATGTCAATTATTTATATGTAATATGACAAACAGAATACTCAATCGTGTTTAACCTGTTTCAGAAGAATGGTGATACTAAATTAACGTACTCATTTAAGTCGATGTTAGAGAGAAGAGAAAGTTGATGGAACTTTACCTTCATCGTCCGTCTTAACTTTTTTCTGATATTTGTTTTTCCTTTTTAGTTCACCTGAGCTGAAAGCTCAACTAAGCTTTTTTCTGATCAGCCGATGTCCGGCGTCCGTTTCACATTTTCGTCTTCTAAAGAACCATTGAGTCAATTTTAACCAAAGTTGGCGCAAAGAGTTCTTGGATGAAGACAATTCTAAATTCTCTTCCAAGGGGAGATAATGAAGGGAAAGCATATAGAGTAAGGACATTAAAAATCTATTCAAGAACCTCTAGGACTGAAGAGATGTAACTTACGTGATAGCTTCTTGAGGTAGTGTAAATTCTAAATTGTTCAAATCAGGGCCCTGGGGGTAGGGTGGGGCTATAATAGGGATCAAATTTTTTCACTGAAATGTAGAGGTAAATATCTTTTTAAAAATCTTCTCGAGAACCACTGGACCAGGAAAGATGAAACTCGTGTTCAAGCTTCCTGAGGTAGAAGAGATTCTTAATTTGTACAAATTTGGCTCCTCGGGGTTGGTTGGAGCCACAATAGGGAATCAAATTCTTACATTGAAATAAACAGAAAAAATCTCAAGAACCACTGGACAAAAAAATGTGAAAGTTTTCTGAGGTAGTAGCAAATCATGGCCACCGGGGGGTAGTGTGGGGCCACAATAGGGGAAGATTTTTTTATTGAAATATATATAAGAAATTGCTCAAAATCAACCGGACCTGAAAAGTTGAAATTTATGTGAAAACTTCCTAAAATAACATAAATTATAAATTATTGAAATCATGGCCCACAGGGGTAGGGTGGGGCCTCAATAGGAGATAATATTTTACATGGAAATAAATAGAATTTTTTTCAAGAACCACTTGACCTAAAAAGTTGAAACTTATATGAATGTTCGTAACATAATGTAGATTCTAAATTTTACAACCCATTGAAGTCACCCACGTGGCGCAGTGGTTAGAGCGTCTGCTCTAGGGTCGCGGAGTAAGGAGTCGATCCTTACGTCGCGGGTTCGAATCCCACTGTGGGACGTGGAGACCGGTCCTTCGGATGAAACCGTATAAACCGAGGTCCCGTGTCACAGTAGGTGCTGGCACGAAAAAGATCCCTCACTGCTCAATGGCCGTAAGTGCCGAGTATAGGACAAATTTTACAGCTCCCCGCCTGTGGTGGCGTCTCCATATGAGTGAAAAATTCTCGAGAGGGACGTTAAACATCATGCAAACAAACAACCAACCCATTGACTTACATAAGAAAAATAAATTAAAATCTTCTAAAGAATCACATTGGATCCATTCATTTGCAAACATTCACAAGTTGTATGGATTCATTTTTGCTCACCTGAGCACAAATTAAAGCAGACGTGAGCTTTTCTTGTCGAAGGGTGTCCGGTGTTCGTCTGTGTGTCCTTCTGTAAACTTCTCTTAGTTTCGACTTCTCCCCAAGAACCACTGGTGCAATTTCAGCCAAACTTTCAACCACAAAGCATCCTTGGGTAAAGGGGGTTCAAATTTGTCAAATTAAGGTCCATGTTGTCTACCAAGGGGAGATCATTAAGAAATACTGAATATTTCATGGCATCTTTTAAAAATCTCCCCAAGAACCACTGGGCTGAGAAGAAACTTACAAGAAAGCTCCATTACATCGTGTACATAGATTCAAATCATGATCCCCGGAGATCGTTTGGGGCCACATATGCAATCAAATTTTTACTTAGGAATATATATAGGAAAACATCTTTAAAAATCTTTCTCTAAGAAACGGCAAAGCCCTGACCACTCCTATTAATAGGGAAGCTTACTCGGGTAATGTAGATTCAAGTTTGTTCAAATTGAGACCCCAAGGGGTAGGGTGAGGCCACGATAGAAGATCAAAGTTTTACATGAGAATATAAAAGAAAAATCCTCCTCTGGTAAATAAAAAAGCAAATATTACCCCTATTGATATACAAGCACCTTGAATAGTTTAGCGTCAACTTTGTTCAAATCTGGAACCCTGGGAATAGATTGAGGTTGAATAGGGGGTCAGACTTGTACAAGAGAGTATATAGGAAGATTTTTTTTCATGAGTAACAAGGCCAAACTAAATCATACTAATAAACAAACATTCCTAAATTTTGTGATTTCATTTTTTTTTAAATTGATAACTTTTAGGCAAAATCAGAGATCCATATTCTACATAATACCTATGTACATATGTAGAGAAAAAATCTTTTCCCAGAATATCAGAGCCATGTTAGTCATATTGATGCATCCTGTTGAATGTGGATTCAACTTTGAATAAATCACAGCCTCTTTAAGACTAGGATTTGGTCCCCAATAGGTAGTCAATTTTTTCATGAAATTAAAGAGGGGATTTTTAAAATCTGCTGAAGAAAAACATCAGGGTCATTAAGATTCATTTGAGCATTGTGGCCCATGGGCCTCTTGTTTGACTAAAACATTATATAGTAAAAACAGATTTTCTTAAGGTTTTGATATCGAGGGCCTTGGCGTTTCCAATTGGGGAAAAATAGCGTCATTTGCTTAAAATGAAAAAAAATCATACAAGAAAAGTAGGGAAAAAAAACAGACCAGTGGTCTCTTGCTACTTTCAATGTTTTTGTTTACCGCACTATTATAATTAATTTGGTTAACTTAACTAGAACTATTAATAAGGTAAAAATTTGGGGTAAAATGAAATGATCAGAAATGATTATCAATAATTGTATTTGTTCATCAAAATTCAAAATGGCGATCATTGGCATGGAAACGGAGGAAGGTCAGTCCGGGGATATATATGATATTAATTGCGATAGCAAAGTTTCTAGTTTGTACATGTATTAGGAACTTGAAGCTAATTCGCAGTTCATAAAAATGTAATTTTTTTCCCTTTTTTAATCTCCACCCGGTAAACACGATAATTTAGAGAATATCATAATACTTTTTAATTTTTATCAGGAAATAGTCCACCATTAAGCATATTTCCCTCTGTGTGTGTGAGTGTGTGTGTGTGTTACGGTTGAATGCTAATCTCCAAAATTCAAATGAGTCTGAGAGTGAATGACTAAATAATTCGTTGAACATCTTGGCTGTCGCACCAAAATTACCCCCACTGTATTATTACACACGAGGTCAAAAGATTGAACAACTTGATATGATTTGACCATTCATTCACGTCAGCAGAAGTTTACATATTAACTCCAAACTAATATCATTTACAATGTAGTTAACAACACCTTCTTAGAATGTATAAATCAGTTCCATGTATAACTTCTGACGTCTATTGTAAAAGAGAAGTTGATAAACATTATCTTATATAGTTCGAAAGCTTTCCTTATTACAGTAAATATTAAAATGATAGGAAAAAGTTCGCCTCGGGTGTCAAAATATAAAAGCAGGGGTAGGAGTCGGAGGAATCTAGGATTAGCGTCTGCGTAATTTGCTTTTTTCCAGTTAATCTGTAATATGCTTGTTTTTCTTTCTCATTTTAGTAAACAGCTTACTGTATGTTCTGGCTTCTGTTTGTACGTTATGTTGCGTATGAAGACTCGTGTGACATTGTACAACAATAAACATTATATTTATGTCCATTTTGTGATTCCAGTACAACTGCATGTTTTTGATTCCTGATGATCAATATATTTTGTACTTGTTGAAAACAATAAGATAGTAACCATGTATCTCTCATTAAATTGCATATAGAAAAAGAATTGTATATCAGACATTCAACTGAATTTATTTTATGGTGAAATATGCAGATAGTAGTCAAGTTCAAAAGTCCATTGTAACAATACAAATTGGGAGCAGGACAAACACAGACCTCTAAACACATCAGAGATAGGATCAGGTGCCATGAAGGAGTAAGCATCGACTGTCGACCGGTCACACCCGCCTTGTGCTTCTTGTCATGATCGGGCAAAAAAAAATCCGTAGACATATCAGGGTGCATGAAATTATGGCCTAACAATTTGCATGACAAGCGTAATCTACATTCGATTTCACGATAGATTATATTCGCTAACGATGCCATTGTATCAACAATAGAATTTGCGAAATGTTGACTTTAAACGAGACTCTTGATATCCTTGTATCATCAACTCATTTGTCAATAGCTTGGCTCGTTTAAGAAATTTTCCGTACGCAGAACATGCTCTTTAGTATCGAATCAATTCCATATGCCGGGGATTATGATATATTGCTACATATTACATTCAGTCTAATTTTTTTTTTATGAAATCCATTTAAAATCAACAACATTCAATCCCCTATAACACACACGAAACCTTGTCACGGCGCGGCAGAATACACAATAGGAACTACGTACACTTTCAATACACTAGGAATGCCAAAATGTATATTTTTGACTCGTTTTAATTTAAAACAAATACCTCATTAAATTATTTTAAGAATATAATAATTGAACGTATAGAATTAATTTGTCATTTTCCCCTTAGCAATATTCATTAGCGTTTTTCTCCCCTGACTTTCCACGTCAGAATTGCTCTTACGTCTGTTAACCAAAACAGTTCTGAAATAACAGTATATATTGCATTATATATATTAATATATAATAAAAATGAATGAAATTAACATTTATGAAAAGAGAAAATTAGAGAATGTAAATATAAGCATTGAATTCTTATTTTTGGATGTCGTCGGTCATATAACAGCACATGTCCGTGCCGACAAGTTATCATACCGCGGTATTCAAATTGTCGGCACGGCCATGTGCTGTCATACGACCGACGACATCCAAAAATGAGAATTCAGTCCTTAAATGACGACAAAATGTTTAAGTCATCACGTTTATCATAAAGTTTTGTTATTAGTTTGCCATTAATGTCTTTTTATAGTAAAATATCCAAATATGAAACAGATGTGTCAAACTCTACGGTGTCTTTTATTTCGATTTCAAAAGAATATATATCGAATCAACGTAGGAATAAAAATGAATATGGTTAATTGACAAATCGTTATCGATATATCTAAATGTCGAAATAA